CCCTATTGAAATCTTTGCTCTATAGCTTAAGAATTTGTGAAAGCCTTGTATGTTCAACCTTTGTGGCTATTTAGTCAGAGATTTTACAATGTTCTTGGGTTTTCAGGTTAATCTACTCATTGACAATGAAGCAGAGAAGGATTACCTTTATGATGTGCTGCGAATGTACCACCAGTAAGATCTAGCTTTATATATGTTTGTGTAGAATTTTACTAATATTCTTAAATGTAAAGAGTGAATATTCAAGATTTTAAGTGGTCCTTCTATATGCTACTAGAAAAGCAGTCGAAGAATAGTTTTTCTTCTGTTTAATGAAGTTTATACTTTTACAATGTAGCCTGCAGGCAAGGAAGGAGTATGTCTGTAATCACCCATAAAGTTACTTCGGCTTTATGACTTGGCAGTTTTGTAAAAGAATTTAGTGGATTCATATTGGGGGGGGTAAAAAAAAGCACTTGGATGATAAAACTGTTCTTAGGAAGAGAGCATTAATCAAATTCATTAATATTTCCAAATAATGGTTATTTATTTGCAACAGAGATTTTCATTGAGTTTGTTTTTTCAAAGATTTTTTGCTAACTATTCAGATAAAAATTTGCAACTGTTTTATCTGAAAGCAGAAAAAATTTAGTCTGGGTGTCTGTTTGGCATGTTTAACAACTCTGGCTTATTACAACATAATGGGAAAAAAATGGTAAGGTGATAGGCCTATTACCAATCCTTTTGCTGAACTGATTTAAACCACAGTTGCTTAGGACCTATATCATTGCAAATGAGATCAGCATCTGATCCATTGTTTTTCAAAGAAGATGAGAATGTATTTTCCACTCATCATAGGCAAGTGGCTCTGATAGACATTGTTGCCATTCATGTCTTAATAGCATCTCAGCTGAGTGAAATGTAGATGTTTCCATCTGATGTTTGCACTGAGCTATAGTTATGGGTGTATTCAGCTGCATATCTGATTCAGTTTCACTCAGGTCTGTCTAATTGCTTCTGCATTCATAAAGCCTGTTGTTTGGAAAGCCAGTTGAATCAGTAGCTCTTAATTATTTAAAATCTTCTTGCAGTTACAAAATTAACAATGCATACAGTAACTTTTCTTCAATTTCCAAAATTGCAATGACTTGAGCAAAATTTCCAGTATCTCTGTGAACAGTTGATGATGTATCACTTTCTTTTGAATACGTTATGAAGTATTCCAGGGCAAAAATATGTGCAATTGCTGTTGGTGTTAACATTTAATGTCTGCTTCACTGTGAATAGCATTTCCAAAAGAATTTGACCTCTAATCCCATGTAATACGCATTCCTGATCTGTATTTTCAGTGCATTGTATTGTATGCACTGAAATGCATACAATATTGTATGCAAGGAAATGTAAATTATAAGAGAGGGAACAGCAAATAGGTATAGACTAAGTTTAACTGGATTTTGTATAGGAATAGCTCTACTGAATCTTAGGGAGCTGTTACTCCACTCTTGCAGCTGGGCAACGAAGTACATTTTCTAAACCTATAACTATCTCAGTGCTGACAATATCAAGGAGACTACTTTGCATAGCTCTCATAAAACAGATGTTCACAGCGGGTTAACTTCTGTGGATTTTGTTTATTGGTTGATGGCCCTTCAGTTTTGATTTGAAAAAAAATTGTAAAACTTAAACCAAGTCTTTGCTCTTGCTACTGAGTATCTTTTTTTTTTTTTTTTTTTTTCTCCTGAATCAAAACAATTTGTCAGTCCTCTAAGTTCAGGAGAGGAAGGAGCTTGTAGCCTAGATGCACTTAGAAGGATTGCTAACTAGTAAGGAAAAAAATCTAGTAGGCAGGTATATCTGATCTGGAAAGTTATTTCCAAACAGTTCCATAAATCTTTTTGGGACTCCGAGAATGAAATTAAAGATGTTGTCTATAAAAGTGATGTGTGTGACCTTAAGAGATAAAGGCAATATGTACGAGATTTTAATTTTATTTTGAATGTAGTTGTTATTCCTCTTTGCTTAGAGAAGGCTTGCTTTCTTAGAGGCTATTTTACTTTGGTTAAACCAATATCTACATAAATAACTTTTTTAGTAGGTTGAAGGGACATGCAAATTTTGAAGCCATGTGTACACCAAGTTATTAAATAATGCTTTGTGTTGGTGTGTTGATTACCTGTGCCTGTTTTCTCACTGTGTTTTTGTAGATCTATGAATCTCCCAGTGCTTATGGGGGACCTAAAACTCGTGATTAATGAACCAAGCAGATTGCCTCTGTTTGATGCTATCCGCCCGCTTATCCCGTTAAAACACCAGGTGGAATATGATCAGCTTACACCCAAAAGATCACGGTAGGAGAATGTAGAACAATGCAGCTAACTTAAGTACAAGCAGGAAATACTGACTGAGCTTTCAGATAAAATCCGAGTAAAATATGGGTCACCTGTGTAGAGCTGGGCATAATTTTTTTACTTGTGCTATATTTGCTAGAAGTACAGTTTTGAGCTACCTGAAATTGTTTGCCAAGTAGTTTAATCTAGCAGGATATGGGAGTCAAAACCAATGCTTTCCAGTTGAAACAATCTTTTCTCGTTTTTCCTGCATTTAATAATAAAAAAATTCTTATAGCTCTAACCCTCTAGAAGCAGACAGCTTCAGTGATTGCAGATGTCTTTTCTTATGAAAAATACCTGATGGCTTTAGCTAACACACATCCATCCAAACTTCAGTCAACTTGCTTTTTTTCATGCCTAAATGTTATAGGAGAAAAATAATGTGTAACTTTCATATGAAACATTATTGCCACAAAGCGTTATGCAGCTGAACAGCCAAGTATTTTCCATTTTTGCAGAAAGCTGAAAGAGGTGAGACTGGATCGTTTGCATCCTGAAGGACTTGGAATAAGTGTGAGAGGTGGAGTGGAATTTAGCTGTGGCCTCTTCATCTCCCAGTTAGTTAAAGGAGGACAGGCAGACAATGTTGGACTTCAGGTGAGAAAATTATATTCATGGCTGCTGCGCTGCAAAAAGCCTTTTGCTACAATGTTAGGGAAGCAGGCGGTAAGAATTGTTCTTTAATATCTAGAAATAGCTATTGCTAACGTGCTGTTTGTCTCTTGTAATGAAATTCATAAAATATATAAGTCAATGTCATAGTAAATACCATTATACCAATGGTGAATCACATTATTAAAGTTGTTCTTTTCTTTTCACCAGTTTTAATGATATGTAAACCTTTTCTTCGTATTTGGGATATGATAATTTTTGAAGATAAAAGGGCTTTCTGGAGTGTTTATACTTCATGAGTGGCAACAGTTAAATGTAAGCAGATGGAAAGAAAGATCTCCAACTAGACTGTGGAAGAGTGTTTTAAGTTGCTAAATTCTGATTAAATGTAGAACAGAGCATATAAATACTAAAAATGTTAATTCCATCTTGCACAGATACAGTTTGTGTCATGAAGTGTTTATTTGAACTTCATGTATAAATTGTGGGGGTTTTGGTTTATGCAATGGAAGTACATAAAAGAAAGAACCTATTTTTAACCATTTCCAGTATCCTTTGTACTGCATAGAATTGCACTTTCAGTTATTAAATTTTAGATTGGCAAAAATAATTATGTATAGAAACACATTTTTTCTATATCAGTACTTATGCAATTCGCATTAATGAAGTTTTGGGTGTTTGGTTTTTTTGAGTGTGTCATTTCTTGCTCATATGTCTTAGTGAAGAGACAAGTGAACAATTGCTGTGGCAAATGTCTGCATCTTTATGCTTTCAAAACTGATAAGGGTGTATTAAGGTCTGTGTTTCTGAGTAGAAAGGCTGATATGCCTGGCTAACTTCAATTTGTTGAGTGTGAATAGTTGCTGGAAGTATTGATGTTTAAGGATTATATTTAATACTAGTCCAAAGTGTATTGGACTGGCATGATTCATTACAGTGTTTAATTAAACTAACATGTTTTGTAGATATGCTTCAGTGTAACCCCACAACTCTTAGATTAAAAAAAAAAAACTTCTGTCTACAAGGCAGTCAAAGTTAGGGTACTGTGTTTGTATAATTCATGTTTAGAGCTTTCTAAAATTTAAATAAGTGTTTCTCTCTCTGTTTGCATACATGCATGTGCCCTTTTGTTTGTGCATTCATCCCTATATATCCCATTCACTAATTCTGAATCACCATTGAATTAGTCCCATCTTCTGGCAGCCTGCTCTGGACAGGCACATGACTGGCCCCCTGGATGCTTTTAGAAGCTCCTTCTTAGAACAAAACTACAAATTCATGGAATACACCTCCACAAATTCTGTATTTAGTTAGAATTGAGAGGGTTGCATAGGACACCACAAACACTGTGCTGGATGTGTCGGTAGCCTCTTGTAAGCATTTGCCAGTGCGTAACTCCAGAAAAGGGCATTGATGCACCTTCCCAGAGTTGGTACTACAAAAGCTTGTGTACCTTGTGCACTACATGACACAGTGAGAATGGGAGGTGTAGACAATAGACTTGTTCCTGGATTGTGATCAGCTCAGTAGAGAGATTCCAGCTGCATCCTTCCTCCACTGCTAGAAAACTGAGAAAAAGACAAAGACCAGTCACTTATATGGCTTTTGAAAACATCTCCTGGAAAATACTGGAAGGCATTAATGATGCTAAGCAATAAAGGACTTAATAGCCACTGTCTTAAACTGTTGTGCTAGTACTGTTGTGCTAGTACATTCATCTTAATGCTGTGTTGCAGCTTTGCTTCTCTGCTTGTTTCAGACTAATGTTTTGACATGATCGATGCATAAGGAGTTATGCTCACTTGTGCTACTGTAAGGATGTCAATTTTTGTTTTTTCTCAGTATGCAAAAAGGCCCTACTGGCTTTCTGTGACTGGGGCCATTGTACTACAAGTTGGTGACAGTGAATGGGATTGTAAAGGATCTTGGGCTGGCTTGTACAAATTGTACTGTAACTCAGAATGTGGTTAGAGTTTGGCAGACAAAGTAGGGACAATAAGGGGGAAATATGCTTGAGACTGACTATGAATTTGTTAGAGTTAGATTGTATGTATTAATATGAACAGATGGTGCTTTGCAGCTCATGTAACTGTCTGACTTGTGTTTTTGATATGTGGTGTTAAAGCTCAGCCTAAAGTGCCTGCATAATAGGTGGCACTAGGCACTTTCTGAACCCCACTGAATAACAAGAGCTGACAGGCAGCCCATTGTTCTAAATTGCTGTCTCACAGTAAAGCCAACTGCTTCTGAAATTTCACCCACCTGCTTTATTTAACTAAATCTCTACACATTTTGTATCCCAGAAATGCTGTCTGAGAAAGGTATAATGATCTTCTATTATATCATCAGTTTTACGTCCTGCTGCTTTTTTAAAAAATTCAAATTCATTTTGCATGATTTCTCTTTGAAGTTTCCAAGTTACATTAAAGTGACTGAATAATCTTGAAGGCTCAGTGAGGCATTTGTAGTTTTGACCCTTTTTTAACTACAGTTTCTCTAAAAGGCAAGTGTTTTGTCCTTTCATGAAGAAATGTACTTAATCTTTTTTCCCTCTGCTTTCTGATACTTATGTCTGTGGGGATTCTGCTGAATACAAAGAGATGGAGATTGGTATGAGTGATGAAAGTGGAACAAGTATACAAAATGAGAAGTTTGAAACGGTGATGATGTTAGGTAAAAACCCTTCAATTCCCTGGAAGCACTAAATATTATATTTCTTACGTTAAAAGTTACAAATAATAGGCATTTTACTTGGGAAAAGTTAGGTTTGTAGCTTCTCTTTTGAAAGTCCGTCATCTCCCTGTTTGATAGGGAAAGGGGAAACAGTGATATATAATAACAAAATAATTGTTACTGTTCTACTCTGCTGAATCCTGTAGACTTTGATCTCTACTGCTTCTGATTCAGAAGGTTGGTATACAGTGATACCAGTACAAAAGTAACAAAATATATGAAAACAACTATTAATTACTTAAGTGTATGGACATTTTTCTGCAGGAAAAGCTGTTCAAGTATCCTAAAGAGAAGCGGTTTGTTACATGCCAATGTCTCCTGTAGTTCAGCCTAGACTGTGGTGTTTCTAAATCACCATCAGTCATACATTGTCAGTCAGTAACAGAAATGTCATGAGGATGAGTGGAGAGTACTAGACTGTCTTTTCATTTCATTTCTGAAGCTCAGCAAAGAGGAGTATTAAAAACAGCTATATGGGGAAAGCTCATTCCGATATGGGAGGAAAAAATAAAATATCCTCTTGGCTGCATTTGTAATTCTGTAAGTGTGTTACCTCCTAGGGAGATGATATAATACTAACAGATATGACTCGCTTAGTGATTGATGACATCCTCAGAGCAACTCTAGTTCTGCTATATGGATGATACAGAAGCTATATGGAGACTCACAAACGGCACTGCCATTTGCAGTTCTAAAACTGGGATGCTTCTTATGGCATTGCAATTAATAACAGTAGGTTAGGTTACCCTTTTAAAAAGCTGGGCTTGTACAAACTCAGGCTCCATGGTCTGTTGTAGCCTGCATGATGCAGAAGATGTGAGTAAAGGAGGGATCTTGAACTAAACTAAAAACAAACAAAAAAACCCCCACCAACAATAAATATGTGAGATCAACAGAAAAGTCTAGATAGGTCAAATGAGGTCAGCATTGCATACTTGAGGTTAAATAGTTAAACACAAACTTCTGGTATTTTTGCAAGTGCGTAATCCAGAGAGAGGCCAGAGATGGGAATGGAGGAAACTTTTTGAGCATTTTACTGTTGAGGAACTCAACCTTCCTTTGAAAAGCAGAGGTCACTCTCTTTTCTACCATTTCCTAGAATAACCAGCCCTAACAAGCTGAGAGTCTTCACGGTTTGTAGAGGATATTGAATCTTTATGCACAGTGCCACAAGTCTGACTTATCTCTGAGCCATTTTGCTTCTTGGCAGTACAGTCACACTGCCAGTGCTAATCTCAGTCCTAAAAATGCATTCTTTACAATGGATTTCCTGAAGCGTCGAGGACAATGGAACAGCTCTAGACTAAATTCTTGGTTTTGGGGTGGGGAACTAGCTTAGAATTTAACAGGGGAAAGAGGAGTGCAATGGCATGGCTGCCAGGCTTGTGGGATGGATGGATGAGTGGGTGGATAGATGGATGGGTGAGCGGGTGGATGGATGTGGTTTTGAACATTTGGAACAAGTTGGTTAAGTGAGTGTTCTTTCATAACGAGAGCTATCAGGGGTGTGACACTAAACTGCAGACCCCATGTGCTTTTTCCTTGTCTGATTCTGCATTTTTACCACAGGTTGTATGTTCAAAAGCCTTCAGTACTGACCTATTTCTGCTCTTATTAAAGATCATATTAAAAATCTGACTGACTTAAATGAAAACGGTCAAGCTCTTAGGAGTGCTGCAAATTGCACATAGGCCATTGTCCTGGGTGAGATTCTTGGATGTCCAGCAGGTGGAGCAGCAGTCCCACTGGTTAGGGGCTGGGGACCACAGTCATGTTCTGCCTCTGCGAATGTATTCTCTCCTGCAGGACAGTCACATACTGCATTTTCTTTGCTTTTGTAGTCTTCTCATGCTGTGTTATGTCAGATAAAAATCTTTTAAGTTCAGTGGAAACTGCACTGTATGAGCTATGCTGGTACAACGGATGTGTTGTTAATGTTTTGTGTACTATTGCAAAGCATATGGCACTTCCTAGAAGAAGTGGAAAAATTTGTGAAAGAAGTGAAAAAGATAAGCGGGTGGTTTGTTGTTTTGGGGTTTTTTTTGTTTTGTTCTTTTTTTAGCTGAACAGATCACAGCAGGAAGATTTGGTTATACTCATTACATATGAAAAAAGGCAGAAGGTGATGACATGCCCAATGTCCTGTCATTCAAGGGTAGACCTGTCACAGTGTGTGTTAATGTGACAGTCTCTAAGACATAGGCCATATTGAGGAATGCCTACTTCCAGTTCCACTCCCTTCTCTCACATAAATGTGGTGATGCAGATTTAGGTTTTTGATGCTGAACTGTGCAGTGCCAGAGGAGGAGTCTCCAGCTCTGACTGTTTTTTCCCTAAAACTGTCAGCAAGGTACAAGGAAGTTAATCCTCGGTGAGCTAGACTGTGGCTTCTTCACTTTTTTTCAGGCACAGATACTCCCATCAAACTTGTGTGATGGAGAAAACGGTGGATACACTGTATGATTTAGTCTGTATGGCCACAGTAGATCACTTGCTCAGTCTGACCAAGACTGGTGGCGTTGCCTTCTATCCTTCTGGTGACAGTGAAGTTGGAAAGTTACTATGGGGGAGACTAGAAGTATCTGGCTCAAAAGAAAAAAAACAAAACCTGTTATATTAAAAAAAAAAAAAATTGGGTCACAGAGTTAGCTAAGGTGGCAATTGCCTTGCACAGTCTTAACAAATGCGTTAAAGATTACAATATTCATTGTAATACTGTTGTGAATATTACAATGAAGTCTTTAATTCTGTAAGCAGACAGTGGTTTTTGCACAACGGCATTTTTTTTGCACCAACTTAGTGGTTAGGGCTGAATGAATCTTCTCATCCCTTTCGGTTCCTGGTGAGTCTCCTGTGCCCCCTGCATTCTGGAAAAGCTAACTCTTTTGATCTTCTGCAGCAGCAGTTGAAAGCGTGTTCACAACTGATCTTGGTACCAGGGGCTGGTGCACTGGCAGTCCCAAAGCAAGTGGATGAAAGGGAAGTTCCCCCAGAGCAGAACTAGTATAGCCAGAGTCTTTATATTACTAACTTTCACCAAACATGTTATGATGTTCCCTAAACTTTTCAGTCAATAAAGATGTTCACTAAGACTGTAAATATCGTGCTCTTAATTTGTAGTATAAGGACCTTTTCCAAACCTAAAGTCAAAGCTTTGTTCTTGTGGAGATCAAAGTACAGAGGTATAAGAGGTTATTGTTGATGATTTGTTGTTAAAGCCATTTGCTGGCCATCATTTGTATATCCTACTGTGCAGAGGATTGATTTGCGTTGCCTAATGGAAGAGAGTATGCACTAGTTTTCACACAGACATGTCATGATTCACTTCAGGTAAAAGTTTTTGCTTATGATGCTCTAGCCAGGGCCTGGCATTTTTCCGTGTTATCTTGAGCAGCTAATAAGATACAATCTTAAATGAAGTGGGCAATGTCTCCATCACTGATTCCTTCTCAGCCTACCTAGCTAAGGGGATCATTAGGCAGAGTTCACAGAAACTTGGAAATTTCTAGTCTAGTTGTCATATCATATCAATTTTGGATTTTGATTAGAGGAAGGGAAGCCTTCTGAAATAAAAATTTTCCAATGATGTACTGTCATTTTATCACCAAATAAACATTAGTTCTATTAGTTCTTTTGTGTATTCTGATAAGTAAGGTGTGAAATTTTATAGAAGTGGCTGAAAGCTCATGGCACCCTGTCTATTCTACACTAGTGAACACTGCCAGGGAATATTCTTGGGGTGCTGCCATTTGATTGCTGATAAATGTTAGTGTGGTCCCCAGTGTGGCCATTGGTCTATGCCAGCGAGCACTCTTGATCAGTTCCTATGCAGTTCACGTGATAACATGTGCCAGGGGTGATTCCTCGAGAGCAGGTTACATGGAGCCACCCTGCTTTGGAGGAATTGTCTTCAGTGCTAGAGAATGGTCTTTGTACTTAATTTATATACCAGGGCATATGTAGTTTCTGTGTAAAGCTGGCCTGTTTTAGGATCAGCCAACAAGTCTTGGAGATAAATTGAATACATCACGTAAATTTGTTTCTACAGTCTTTTGCTTCCAGATAGGTTACTTCTTTTTGGTGCAGTATACTAATATAAAGATGCTGGAGGATAGTTCAGTTGTTTTTGTATTTCTGTTCTCATTCCTTCATGAGAGTTTTGTGATACATTTTTCTGTGATTTGTTCAGAACAATATTGAACTGTTTTGAGGCAGGTAGTACACACTGGCAATGAGGGTTATCTTTTACACTAGTATACACTTAGTTATCTAGTATTATTTTTTTTTCTCTGGAATACCTGGGGGGGTTTTGTGGGTTTTTTTGTTGTTTGGCGGGGGGGTTTTGGGTCCTATTAGTAAAACCCCTACATCTTTTCCTGCACAATAGGTGAAACCTGGGTGGAAAATACCAGTTGCTTTTCAGTCCATTGTATACACAATTTGTGACACAAAAGGCACATAGGTTTGGAAGATAATCAAAGAGGGCCCGTATCTGTACGGAGACCCAGAGCCAATCCTTTAGGGTGGAGGACAGAGTGCAAATTACTGCTTCTTTCAGTCAAATTATCTTCATCTAAGTTTGCCTCGGGGATAACACTAGTTTTGTCTCTGCTATTGAGAGTGCATGTTCTTGGTCTGTTCTGTAGCTTACTATGCTCCCTGTCACCCATGGAGCCCAAATATATATATATATTGCATACACATGGAGGGCTGAGTAAGCTTGGGAATAAGTGATTGACTTGCCTTCTGTCTGGTGGGAGCTTCCTTCTATGTTTCTGTCTCAAGTTTTCTCACTTTTTTCATGTCATACAGCAGGGGGAATGCCACAGCCTCGGGGCCACAGTAGGGTGGTTGTACTGTCTAATGTAGATGATCCAAGAAGACTTAAACTACTGCACCCCAGAATAAGCATTCATTATGCTAGTACATGACTATTGTAATTAATCAGATGTTGCACCTGAAATGGAGGTAAATTCCATTAAAATAATGCATTGTTCTGAATCCAGAATCAGGCAAGGTAATAAGACCAAGTTTAGTTTCCTATTGATCAAAACAGTTAAGAAGGTATCTCAGAGAATTTACGGTAAAAGCAAACATAAACTGCTGAAGTATAAAGGAAGAAAATCACTCCAAAATTGAATTGAATTGAAATACGGACACTTGTATTTAAGGTAATCTGTGGACTACAAGTCTGATGTGTAGAGACTCACTTTTATGCTTTCCACTAGATATTATTTATAAAATTATTTGGCCATTAATCTGCCTTTTTGGTGTTAAATATTAAGTTCAAACAAATACAGGTAAATCTGATCTGGACACTACCTGAAATTCAAAAACTGTTCAGGATTTAACATTATCAAACCTTTGCATCAAAATGATTGCCAGATTGCATCGTTGCTTAAAAACTTTAACATTAATTCACAATCTAGTTTTTCTTCTCCCTTTCATTTTTGAGATTGGAGATGAGATAGTTCGTATAAATGGATATTCCATTTCGTCGTGCACACATGAAGAAGTCATAAACCTCATTCGTACAAAGAAAATAGTGTCCATAAAAGTGAGACGTAAGTAACATAAAAAATCACCTGTATCACTAAAGATTGGTATTAATAGATTGTTAGTGATCTGTAGAAACTGTTACTTAACAGAGTATTTTTCTTTTTCAGATATTGGCATGATACCTGTCAAAAGGTAATGGTATTTAATTTGAAAACAAATTAGATTATTCATTTTCACATAGCCTCTTCAATGTCCAAAGAACTTCTGTCTTTATCTGTATATTTGAAAATGTGTGAATGGGCATCTCTGTAGCTGATTAAAATATCACATCGTTTGTGATAAACAGGCAGATGTCTTGTTTGATGAATCTGACTTTTTATGCCAGTTGCCTACTTAATTGAACCAATTTCTAGTCCCTCATTATTTGTGGATATTACCTGGAAATTTCATTATCAATTCACCTAGCTTAACGGAGAGCTCCACTGTTTCTCTATGTACGTAACATTTGAGGATTGCTTCAGAGAAGCAAGAAAAATTTCGAATTATTGTTCCCTTCCAATTTTTGTTGAAAAGTTGAAACTTTAAGTGGAATGTTTGAGAAATGTTACTGACAGGAGGTGTGTCTTTGCATAGACATTTATATAATCTGCTCAAGTCGTTCTGGTTATTTTCACAGTCTTTCTTAGAGTTTCCCAAAATTGTTTCACTTGAAGAGGTTTTTCTCAATTTTATGTTTGACCAGCTTTACTAGCCTAAATAATTGTATGCTTGCTTGATGTTCTATTTAAATTGCTGGAAAATAAACCAGTTTTTGTGAATGGTATCCAAAGGAACTTGCGGATGCAAAATAGGAGGCCACATTCCAAAGTAGCTTCTTGAATACATTCACATTTATTTTGTCCCCGTTATTTTAAATTACTTTTTCCTTCCAGTTCAGCAGATGAACCCCTTAAATGGCAATATGTGGACCAGTTTGTGTCAGACTCTGGGGTAAGCAATCAATATTTTATTAAGATGTCTTCTGGGAAATCTGTAATGGTTCTGAAACACTTTCTCCTCTGACCTTCTCACAGAAGTTACTGTAAATATTTCTATGATGTAGTATCTTGTTATAAGTGTTCTGGGAGAAACATCTTTTGTGATATGAAATGAATCATTAGATAAGCAAAGGGCAGGACACAAATGAAATATCTTTTACTCATTAATTGGTACTTTATTTTGCTTGAGCTTATTAACTTACCAGGCTACAGTTCTACTGTATAAATCTTTAATAGATTACTTGGCCTATATTAATGGAGAAATGACAGGTATGAATGCAAGTGACTTCTGTGGGTTGCAGCAATGAAAAGAGAGACCACAATTACTGTTCTTTTGCTTTCAGGAAGAAAGACTTAGTTAAATAGTGAGCACTATCATGTATTTTTCCAGCTCTTTTGTCAGGGAACATCTAAATAATTATTTTGCCATATCACTTTCCTCTAATTTTCCTTCACTCTTCTCTGAAGACAAAGTTTGACTATTTAAACAATCTTCTCCAAATAGAAAGATAAGTTCAGTGTTTCACCTCAGCTGTGCAGCTCCACTGATATGATTGTACCTCACATTCATCTCCAGTAGGACCTTGGAGGAATCTTATCTTGATGTTGGCAGGGTTTGATCCTGGCTTCATGAAGTTTTATAGTAGCCTTGATACGAGTTCAACACAGAGTAACATCTGCAGCATTTTTTAATCCCCCTACAGGAAGGAAAGGGCAGTGTTGCTGGTCTTGCTTCTTCTGGAGGGAGAGACAATAAAGAGAAGAAAGTCTTCATTAGCTTGATTGGTACAAAAGGCATGGGATGCAGGTGGGTACATGTTTCTTATTTAATGTCGCTGGTTTGTTAAGTGGGACATCCAAGGCAGTTATTTCCATCCTTCATTGATATGATATCAGGAAAATAGAGATCCATGCTAGATCAGAAAGGCAAACTGGAACAGGAGGGTATCTGTGGCACACATTATGTATTATTAGACAAAGTATAAATACCTGTGTTACAAGTTCTGACTTAAAACCAAAAAAAATCTTTTAATTTAAAAATAAGAGCAGGATGAAAGTGATATAATAGAAGTTGTCGTGGAAATGGATCTTTTAAATGGTTTTACATTTTAAAATACTTTTAAATGCTGCTCTGTGACATAGCAAGTTCCAGCACTGTCCAGTGTCAGGTTCGCTCCCTGAACTTAGACTGCTTTCTGTGACCCTTTTCAGGACTGAGAAGCCATCACACGGCTATATCCAGTTCCTAAAAGTAATGTTGAATTTTGCAAGAATTTTAGAAATATGAACAGATGCTTCTCAGACTCCTGTCCTTGCAGCTAGTTATGGGGATTTTGGGGTAGAAGGGATATTGTAGGATTTCTTATATGTTTAGGAATATATAGTTGAAGTTACCAAGATTGAACTGCACAGAATATTTTCTAAAGCATAAGTTTTCTTTCATATTATTTGGAAGACCTAAAGGTTTTTTAAAAAAATTATTTACAAACCTGGAGGAGTGGTTCAACATCACCTGCTGGATATATAGCTACAAAAATCATTGCTGTGTTTGGGCCCAGCTTAGACTGCAGCTTAAAATTTCCAGGCTAGATGTTGGCCCCTGATTGAAACATCCTCCTTGCTTCTAATAAACAATCCTGAAAAATAACATTGTATTATACATATAGGAGACCACAGTTCAGTGAGTAAAAGTGCAAGCAATTAGTAATTCTTCATTGTGTTACATGCTTGCTTTCCAATGCCATTAGTGTCCCAGTCCCTTAGACAGTGTAGGTCAGTATACTATGTTAGTTTCAACATTGAAGGAAAAATCCAGAAGCTTGAATATTTTTCTTTTAGCTTTTTCTTAAATCACAGTTTAGTGGTGTAAAGGATAGAAAAGTAGGATGATAAACCATTGTGTGTGTACTGGCAAATTTTGGTGTTTGTTTCAGAGTAAGCTAATACCACAAAAACATTCTTTAATCAGAAACAAATTATGAGAAAACAACTAAGACTTCTCACTGTATTACACTGTATTATTCTATAAATATTATCCTATAAATGTTTGGTTTTTATATTATTCCAGTATTTCCAGTGGTCCAACACAAAAACCAGGCATTTTTATCAGCAATGTTAAGCCGGGTTCTCTTTCAGCAGAGGTGGGCTTAGAGGTAAGTATGCCACCTTCGAAGGTAGGTACCACAAGGAATTCTTATTTGGTATTTACTACTTCAAGGATTCTGGATCACTGTAAAGTCACTAGCTGTGGGTTCTTTTCCCATGGGAAAGAAATATTGCGTAGTTACCTTTCAAATGAAGCAAGTTTCCTAAATATTAAGAACATGAGAAGTGCCCTCCTGGGTCAGACCAATAGTTCATCGAGCTCAGTATTTGGTCTCAACAGTTGGCAATAGGAAATGCTAATATGGGAGGATGTGCAGGCCTGCCCAGTTTCTGCTCTGTTCCCCTTGTACTCTGCCAGTATCCATGATTATTGTATTAAGAATGTTAGTGTATCTTTTTCTGTTTTCATTTAATATATGTACTAATTTAGCAGCTGTACTAAAATCTGGATTAACTCCTTCAGGTTGGTGATCAGATTGTTGAGGTAAATGGAGTGGACTTTTCTAATGTGGATCATAAAGAGGTAAGTTCAAGTCTTCCTAATTCCCTGAATACGTAGTTGTCAACTTATTAAGCATGTCTGATTTTCCTGGCTGCAAAAAATATGTTTTGATATCGGGCTACTTAACCAAAGAGGTTGTGTATTGAACATGGGAATTTGGAGATCTGAATACCTACCACCCTGTTTAGTTCCAGTGGGTCTTCTGGAAATTCCAGCCTTGACAACCAGCATCTTTCATCCTGTATATACAGGTCTTTTATCACTTAATTCAGACTGATTTTTGTTTTGTTTTAATTTGCAGGCTGTCAGAGTGCTCAAAAGTAGTCGTACTTTGACTATCTCTGTGGTAGCAGGTGCTGTAAGTAGTATATTTATAAAAGCAGAACATTTGTGAAAATTACTATGCATGCAAATAAATGGTAAAAATAAATAGATAAGAAGTAAAGCTGTGTTTCGTTACAATGTCTATACCACTAAATTCTGTCAAACCAGGGCAGTGTTGAGTGGCTTTTGATTATTTTATTGATAGCTATCCACAGGATTCTCAGATAAAACAGTTTCATGACTGGGCCAGTGCAAAACCCTTCTCTTGACAAGGAATGGAAATTAACTTTCTCGTAATGGTTTATCATTTTTGAGAGCTTCTGTTGTAATAGATAGCTGCTTCTGCTGACACATGAAAGGTGAATTGGATTGGACTGGAGTGAATTAATTGTTCCTCGTGAATAGCTGATGTCTTATTCCAAATTAATTCCCTGTGTAACTGTTTATCTGATCTCTTTAGCGTATCAACACATTGAAAATTGTTCAATTTTCCATTTCCACTGTTTTGTACAACAGGACTATATGCCTTTGGGGCCTAATCTAAAACCAGCTGAAACTCATTAAATCTTTCCACTGACTTCAGTGTGGCCTTCAATAAATGTTTTAATGTTTTTACTGCTTTAATCCTTCCTATAGTAAAATGTGTAGTTATATACAAGAGGATACTCAAATTCCATAGGCTAATCAAAGATGGTATTTTCTAATTGCCTTGCAACTAAATTAAATAGGGAAAACAAGATTTAATAAATCATTTAAGCTATTTCCTAAGGGCTCCTGTACACTGTGTAGCTATATTAAGGAATTCATGGTTTAATTAAACTACTCTTAAAGTAACAAAAGATGCAGGTGTCCAAAGGCATTGTAGACATTGTTTAAACAAATGCTCCAGACTAGTTGATTAAGCTCCAGGAACTCAAAATCCTAAGGACTTCGTTTCAACTCCCAGATATGTTACCAACTGTTAGAAAAGATGGGACCTACTCCAGCATGTACCACTGAGATTGCATCCTTAAGATGGTGAATTTTTGCTATGGAACTCTTCTGCTCCACCCTACCTTTCACTTCCTCAGTACACATTTTTGTACTGAAGAAGAGATTGTAAAAGGAAACAGTTTCTCTACTCCTGTTTTTCGGTCAGCAAAAACTGTGGTGCAAAGGTATTCTTCACTGCCTGTTTTTGTTCGAGCTGTCTACTTTGAGCCTTAGAGACGTGAAAAATTCTGCCTTCCTAATTAACATGGGATTTTAATTTCAGTAATGAAAATCAGATAAATGTTATCAAAGTGTTCCACAGATACACCATGGAAATATCTTTCTTGAATAGAAAATAGTGCTGGTATCTTAACTATAAAGTAAATGAAACAGGAACAAAACCAACTGAAACACATCAACTATATAACCTTTTGGCAATGTACGTTCCCTGTATTTGGGTTGCCTGAATGATGGTAGATTTCCACAGCAGCCACGCACAAGAGCATTAAAACGCAGTAACTGTGTAGTTGTCTTCCACATTGGGATTCATTCAATGTGCTGTTCTCTAGCATTGCATTGCTCAGTTAGATTTCAATAAAGCATAATATGGAGTTTTTTCTGGGTGACACACTGAGCATGTCTTTGGCATGACCCCTGCACTGTTGTTGCTGACTTTAGTAGTTGCATGCCTCTTCTGAGCACATCATAACTTTGAGACTGAAACTGGAGTAGCTCCTTGGAATGAAATGGTGACATCTTTCAGGGCCTTTCAGAAAGCATTCCTCAGAAAAAGTAATGTGAGGAAATCGCAGATGTGTTAGTATGTAATCGGTTTTGAATTATTTCCTAGAAGAACTACATTCATGAGACTTTCACAACTGATTTGGGTGGTGGTTCTGATTGCAGGGAAAGGAGCTGTTCATGACTGAAGAGGAAAGGCAGAGAGAAGCACGTCTCCGTGAGCAAGAACGCCAGGAGTTAATGCATCAGAAGCGACTTGCACTGGAGACTAATAAAATCATTAAAGAGCAGCAAGAGAAAGAGAGATTGTAAGGACTTTGCATAGGACAGTCTGAAAAATTTAGCTTGGATTTGGAAAGGGCATGGAAGACAGGAATAACTGTGAGAAGATTCCCAACTTAGATTAATTTAATTTTGCTGTTGCAGACTTTCTGTTCATAAATCCTTACCCTGTGGTGCTCTTGATGTTCTGGATTTTCAAAGCTGATATCATTCAAACACATCTTGAGTAGAAGGGTCACTTTGTTCCCCGACTGTCATGCCCCTATGATTCAGTGTGATATTAGTTATTTTCTGATGCCATTCCCTCATCCTTGTTTTTTTTGGCAGGACAGTTACAAATTTTATACTCTTACAATAACACACTGTGGAACTCTCTCAGAAGGAGACTTACAGAATTAAATAGATGATATGCCCTTATTATCCAGATGGTCATGAATGTCCTCAGGGTTCCTATGAAAGTATATTGAACTCTTGGTATCTTAAAGATGACTTTTTTAAAAAGGAGCCTTTTTCCCCAATGCATATGTATTTAGTGTCTATATTTTTTAGTAACTATATGCTGACACACTTTGTGCAAGTTCTTACTCAGAAAATACTCTTTCTATCATTGTGTCCTAATTCCTCTTATTATAGAAGAAAACTGGAGATTTCCCAGAAGGCTGCAGAGGAAGAAGAGAGATATCGCAGAGAAATAGAGCAGTAAGTAAAAACCTACATAGGCAATATGCTGCCTGAAAAAGGGTCCTTATAATATATTAGATCTGGCTGAAAACATTCTGTATATTCTTTTCTAATAAAATTGTATATATTTTCATTTAGCTAAATGTAGGGTCCAATGCATATGAGTACGTACACCACCATTACAGAATAGGAAACTGAAAATCAGCATCTGGAAAACATGAAGGTTATGGTGACAATAAATTCAGTGTGAAATTGAAGTCGGGTGCTTATTTTAAAAATGTTATAAATGTATAGAGAAACTTAAGATTAAGGGAGTTCTGTGTCTCAGAACTTCTTTACTCTGTTGTCATTGAACCACTACATTTAATTCTAACAGAAAAAAAGAAATGAATACTGCAAGGAAGTGGATCAGGGAAGAAACAGAGAAGAATGACTAAGGAGTTGGAAAACATGCATATACTCAGGGGCTTGATGACGTATCCACTTGGCTTATATTTTGGGGGGAAAAAAAAACAAAAAAAAAAACAACAAAAAAAAACCCAAAACCAAAAAACAGGTAGTTTGTTCACAATCTGTAAGAGTGTACACAGTGGAATTTAATAGCTTTTCCAGTCTATCAGACAGTTCTGAAAACAAAAGCTATGTAGATTTAGACTAAAATAAGGACTATGTGATGCTAATTGTCTTGAGTAGAAATTTCAGTCATCATAAATTTTAAGTAGGCTTTTGCTTTTCTAAGGAGAGAATTAATTAAATTAAAACTGTGGCACCAAAAGCAGGAAGTTCTATGACCTATTTTATTCAGGAAATCTGATTTTTATTATCACAGTCTATTCTGGTTTTAAAAATCTGTGATTCTAGGAACTAGACCTATTCAAAGATTGTATTATAATAAGGCCAGTACTATAAATGTAACTTAAGCATTGTTTTACATTTAGAACTTTAAAATTAACCAGTATAACATGTTGTTGTTATCAGAGTAATTAGTTTCCCTTTTAAGTGACATTGGGAAACTGCATGAAAGGTAGCGTGAAATTGCACAATACCTGTTTTGATGCAGCCTTTAAGAGTTAAGATTGACCCTGAAGTATTCAGCTTTGCACCTTTGACATCTTAAACAGTTTTTAATTCATATTCATTCACTTCAGTCCCTTTTCATGTACCTGTATTAGCTAAAATTCTCTGATAGAAAAAGTGCAGGGATCTCTGAATCTATGAGGTGCAGAAGGGAATATATTCCCCAGCTGTCACAACAGAAGAATCTTCTGAGTTCTGCTGTGGGCTCTACTGCAGCACATGCATGAATTCTTACACGTTTTCCTTTTCTAATTCCTGGGGAATAGATAACACCCTGTTCTTTATTGTGGTCTGCTGTACAAATGCCTGCAATAGCCGTGGAAAGCTGCTGTAAAAGCAGACCATCACAGGTGAAGAATAATTCCTTTCTTCAAATCCGGATTGCCTGTCTGTTGTAATGAATGTTCACCATCTGCAGGATCCTTCTGAACTATGTGCATCTTTACTCACTCAGTGAGGACTTGCATGATTAGGCTGCCTTGAGGGCTGCTCATTGTAAGGTCTGGCACGTCTTTATACTTGTATATTTTCCAAGTGCTGCTCAGGCACTTGTTAAGTTTTTCCATACTACAACCCAAACTGGCTAAGTCAGTGTCAACTCCTTGGTGTAGGGGAGGGAGGATGGTGGTATAGGAACTTATATTTGTAACGCTTAGATTTAATAAGCAACTGCAGACAGGCAGTTACTAGAATGTAATGCTTTCCTGTATTAACAGTTTGTGAGGATGACCCTTTGCTGCATTTTTAAAATCCTTTCTGTAGGAATTCCTTGTATCAAGTTACTGTGCCCTTTATTAGTACCCACATACATTTTAGGAAAAAACTTCAAATGTGCCTAAATGGCAGAGGTCCTTAACTCTGTGTACTTCAAGTTACATTGTAACCCCATTTTTTTAAGTAAAATGAAATGTAATAACAAATCTAAACGTTCTACCCAATGTTCCCTGCTATCGGCTATGCCTCCGAATTTAAATATTGACCTCAGCTGCAGATTTAATAGTGACTTGACCACATGGATATTTTTTAATTTTGCCTTAGCTAATTTAGAGATGCAAAAGATAATCCAAGTATAAATAGCATCATATATATCTAAGACCTGGTAAATTTTGCACCATATATCAGTTTACCAGTTCAAGATAGGCTACAGCCAAAAATAGATCTTGGATCACTTAAAGGCACCATATATGAAGCTACAAGCTATTATGTTGTATGGCAGTTCTCTTGTGACCTACTTGGGATTTGCTGAATTTTCCTTCAAAATGTCCTTTTTTTTGATCATGGTCCCTTTCTAGGTATCTTCTAGGTAATCTTGTTTTATGAGCTCCTTTGTCCTGAAGTGTGACAATTCTTCCCCCCTCCCTTCTCCCCCCCTGTCCTTAGAATGCTGAATTTTATGTGGTTTGTGTCTCATCAGTATTTAGTTCTTTTTGAGAAGAGTCGCTTTTTAGTGTAGCCTAGGACTATATGTTTAGGAAGCAATCATCAAAATGGAGATAAGATACAGAAATGAGACACACACTTTTTAGGTATAATTTACCATTGTCACATCTGATTTAGGCATGTGGTAGATGTTCTGTCAATTAGTATTTTTGTTAAAACTGATTATTTTTCTAATAGGTATTTCCCAGTTCTAAAAATGAAATTGTTAGGTGAGAAATGGTTTTTGGCTTCAGTTAAAGTGACAGTCAGTATTGTAGTGTATCGCTCTGGGCTTAATATCTGTGCAGGTGTTTATATAACTGGCCTTAGAAGTCTTAATATTAAATAAGAATATTTTACTCAGTTACATTATACTTTACAAATTATCTTAGTAGCTTGGTAAATGAAACTTAGATTGATGAAAGGAATTTGGTTTGGAGGAAGGGGCAGTTTATTATGCTTTATATTAAAGAGAAAAAAACAAACATACTGAACACTAAATAATTGTGAAGAATTTATATTGGTTTTGTACTCAGAATTCCTAGCTGCATTTTTTTTTCCTATAGGATAACAGCAGAGGAAGAGAAATTTAAAAAGGAGTGGGAAGAAGACTGGGGTCCTAAAGAACCTCCGAAATGTCTAAAAACTGTAACTGCAGAAGTGCATTCTGCCCCTCGTTCTAAACACAAAAGTAAGTAATAGATTTCAGTCTGATTCCTAAGGAAAGTATTTGTTTCAGATATATCACCGAGCTGTATGGAATATATCACCAGTTTGTGTCCAAGCCAAGCTAGCTATGACTTGGTTATTTTCAGAAGGCTGGACGCATACGAGAGATTAATTTAATAGCTCTTATTTAACAGGTACCTAGCTCACAAAATCTCTACATCCGCTCAGTCATGGTTTTTAACAATCAGCAGCAGCAGGAAAAAGAAAAAAGATAAAGCTCACTAAGAAATTGTCTGAAGTATCAAACTCTTTAGCTTGGGGTTTTGGGGCATTGCTTTCCATGTTGTTTCTGTTCAGTGTTTTGCTTGTCAACCTTTTCACAGAGCAGTTCTTGCATCAGTAGACTTGTGCTGATTTCCACTATATGTCCAAATGGAAGTAATGCTGCATTTTTTATATGATATGTGATTATGTTTTTATGTCCATGTGTGTCCATATTCAAATGCTAAGTTGTATACATATGAGTGCTTTCATCTCAGTGAAGAAAATATTACTTATAGTAATAAGTAGTATTTTAGGTTTTATGGGCATTTTGTTACTGGGTTTTGTTACTTTTGAAGATGAATGTATGAAGAAGGGGAGACAAGTGTTCGGTTTTTTTCTTTCATTTGGAATTAGCGTTGAGCGTTCTGCATTAATCATATCAGCAAATAATTTAACATCATTTTTAAATTTGAGAAGAGATATTGGGAGGTGGAGTGTTTGCAGGTAGAAGACTAAGTACTAGATTTGCAGTCTCATTTGGAGTGAATGAATGCTCTTTGTACTCTTCCTATTGTTACCTTTTTTCTTTTCCCTTACTCTAAATCAGTATGAAGATTAGGGTTTTGAGTATTTTTGTCTGCTTGCTTCTAACTAGAAAAGATAGCTATGGAATCCCTGCTTTCGCTTGGAGGAAATGAATTCAATGTTTAATTTTCAGAAAAATCTAAAGATCTTTTCCCTCATCTCTTCACCAGTACCTCGGTCCTCTCTTACTTTGGCAGTCTTTGGGGGCTGTAGGAGTGTCTTGAAGCTCCCTTACTCTCTTGCATGAGGCGGAGTAAGCAACTTTATATATTGAATTTTTTGCATTTGAATTCTATTGCATTTTTCTTAATAGAAGCCATTGTTGCAAAACAACAGTAAGACACTAGACAAAAAAGAGAAAAGTCAAAGATTCTTAAGAATCAGCAAGTTTTTTAAAGTGTTTTTCCTAGATCTTTTGACAAATCTGTTTCTTGCCAGCATGCCTTTCACATCTAATTTATTCCTTCTCAGGCTAAGGTATTTACCACATCATTTTTCTGCGTATTACTTCAGTTTATGCTCTTGTGACAACTATCTTGAAAATGAAATTATGACGGCATAATGATGTTTACAACCGCTGCAAAAATAATCTTGCATGCTAAGAGGTTGGGTAGCAAAGCATGTAAGCATGTACTAATTAAAAGCATGCAATCAGAACTTCTGAATCAATTCCTAGTGACCTAATCAGAAGAAAGCGAGGCACGTTTCTAGGAATTTGCAAAATTCAGGCATCTGTCCGTGAGGTGCTGTGTGTAGTAGCAGATCTGTTAATATCTTAAATAGACCACCTGTCAGAGTGGGAGAAAAAAAATCCTTCTTTTTCAAATATGGAATACCTGTGGACTTTGAAACACCTTTTCCGTATTTCTTGTTTTTTCTATTCCCCTCATACTATCGTTTTCCTTACTGAATCTATCTCCTTTTTTTTTTTTTCTCTTCCCCTGGTCTCCTTTTTCCTGTCTTTTTCCTCTTTTCATCCATTGCAGCAAATCTTTCACAAACTGGCCGTAGCCTGCACAGCCTGAAAATTGATTTGATATCATTGGGCAGTCTGCTTCAGAATTAGTCGAGAGACTGAGGAGGTACTGTTTGTACACTGCAACTTTTCCATGAAGAATTGCCCTGAAGTGTAAGTCTGACTGAGTTGTCCAAAGGGATTTAAGACACTTGGAGCTTAATTTGCAGTTAGGAAGCTAAGTTGGGAGCTATAGATAGTATGTGGAGAGTGTACTAAAATGGTATTAGACAAAGGAAAAAGTTGGAAAGTGCTTGTGGAGCAGGTATTGCATAACTTAGGGGAGACCTGGGTCAGTTCTTAACCTGATTACATTATTTTTTTTGTGTGACTTGGGGAAAGTCACTTAACTTTTCCTGGATGAGAACCTGAGATGGGGAAATATTTCTCCTGCAACAACCTTTTATCTATTTAGTTTTCTGATTCTTCAGGACAGTGTTTTCTCTGTATAGCATTTACCCCGGTGACAACGCAGTAGAAGGTTAATATTTCTTTTTGAAGCCAGGTATCCCAGAACTGCTGATGGTTTAATTACAGGAAAAGCCACTTACCTCTGCAGGCTTCCCTTCATAGCAGAGCAGACTAATTGGCCATATGCAGATCCTAACTGCTCTTCAGGGTTGAAGGAGGTTGGAAATTGATTTGATTTAAGCAGGAGCTCAGGTTTTTTCAGTTATGTGGAAAAATATCCCATTGCTAACTTCTTTTTATTCCATGGAAACTTCTAGTCACACATTGCTGCTCTCTCTTTCATTTCATGGGAACCTCCAGTTAGACTGTCATTTCTATCTCCTCACTTCTTTCCTCCTTTGTTTCTCTAGTGGATTTAAAGGGAGTTGCACATGACCAGCTTGAAACAGATGACATGGATGAAGTGATCATGAAGCAGGACAAACAGGTTTGCTGCTCAGCCTTAACCTCCTACCCTGATTCAGATTCTTCCTGTGTTTCCCTTCCTCCTGACAGTCAGTCTTGACACTGAATTGATCATTTGGTTTTGCTAGGGCAATATGTGTGGTCCTTTGGTAAATGATGAAACATCAAATGATGTTGCTGTCATTGCTTTCTGAAGATACGAATACAGAATCTGACAATCCTGCAGAAAGATGGATTGTATTGAGAGCTCTGTGTGTTACCAGTGTTTCTTATATAAAATTATGATAACAAATTCTTTTGTATGTTTTTACTTAGCAGTGTGTTTTTTAATATTTATATGCTTGGCTTGAAATACTTTATCTTAGGAAATAGAGCTTTTCTTGCCTCCTGAAACGCCACTGTGTTTTGCCACAAGCTTGAATGAGTTTGAATACCTGTTTCATTTTAAGCAGGCTTGTTAAAACTAGTGAAAAGTAGGACTGTGACCATAGAAATCTTAGCAATGCATATGGCTGTATGGTTCTGTATGAAGACTACTTGTTGCATTTGCTTTGCTTAACGTAAAATGTATGTCAGTAAAATAAGGGTAACTTGTGACTAAATGTACTAGCACAATTGATCAAGAAGCTGTCTAAGAACTTGTCATGTAATATTGAAACTTTGGTGTTGCGCCTTCAAATAAATTTTAGTCAGTTACATGTATTAGCGTGGATTGATCTGAATTTGAACCAGTCCTTGACTTTTCTTCAGAAAACAACTTTTCCTTTACCTTTTTGTAGCTTTTGGATGGTTTTATCGGTATGAAGGAAAGTTTCCCACAATCCGCAAGGTACAAAGTTTGATATGTGAACTTGTTTGCTGTGCCTTTCAATTTCCATTCCTCTTTTTTCTTCTTCTTCTCTGTTATTACTAGACATTCTTTATAATCAAATGCTGCTTTTTTTAACATGCACAAATTAAGATGTGTTTGGGATGCATCTGCCTAGGAGTTTGTCCTTTTGAATACATTAGACTTTTCAAGTCCTGCCAGCTGCAGTGGGAAGTGTATGTCAATACTTTGCAGAAGGTGCTCAGTACAGGTGGGCAGTGCATGTCTTTATGTTCTCCAAAAGTCCTCAGAATAAGGTATAAAAAAAAGTACAGAGACAAAAATTCAATGGGAACCAAGTATGCAGTTCCCAATTATACCTTTGCAAATCTCCCAGTAAGAGGAGTGCTGAAGGCAAAAGACTTTTAAGCATGTACATCACACAGAATAAGCAAAAACAATTGAAAATCTTTAAGCTTGATAGAATACTTCTGTATCTGTAGAGTTGCTGCTGAAGTATTGCAATTTCAAATTATTAGAGTTTCAAATAATAGTTTATTCCTCTATTCCTGAAGCTGTTGCTTTATTCTCTTTATTTATTTCAGTGTATATTAGCCATATTAAATGTGTTTTGTGGTTGTGTTGTGTGTTTGGGGGGTTTTTTTTATGATGGCTGATGGTAATTAACTGGGGTAGAAGTGTCAAGGAGAGTTCATATGTCTATCTCCTGAGAACTCAAAGTTTCTGAGAAGGTCAGGATTGTATCTGACAGGTGAAGTATTTGTGTCCCTGTTTAGGACTATTACTTTAACCTTTTCTGTGTGGACAGCAAACGTCTATTCTCCTTAATAGAGAATAGGAAATGATGGTATACTCCGATACCATTTTGTACTGCTACCGCCTGTAAGTCATCATGGATCTGTAACTTATCTGAAAGTCAGTACAATTAGGATTTCTATCTGAAAAGTATAAATACATGTTATGAAAACTCAGTCTCTTCACACAAATAGGTGATCTTCTGTATTGCTGCTGTATTGCTGACAAAGATAGTTTAGAGAGCCTCCAAATACCTTTTGATATAGTAATGAAGATCTTACCCAGTTCCTTTTGAACTCTACTACACAGTGTGGACTAGAAGCTTGTAAAGATGTATTTTTCGTCTTTTTCTTTTAGAAATATTTTTAAATCTGGAAGTGATGAATTTTCATCCTACTCCAAATTGCTAATTGCTTTTTTTGTTTTGTTTTAAAAGGAAAATTTCACTCTGTACTAAAAATGTCTGTAGTAGGAAGTAAACTGAATCCATGAGGAAAATGATTGGGAAGGATGACTCATCCTGCTGTATCTGAATGCAGTGAATGCAGCTAAGATTGTCTGATATATGTTCATACTCCGGAACACTTTGGCACGTGTACTGCTTAGTGTGCCTTTAAACTCAGTAATTTTTCAAATATTGATACCTAGCAGGTTGACCTGCCAGATGTTACATTTAGTAGACAGTACTAAATATGTCTTCTAATTTATTAGAGGATAAGATATCAGCAATTATTACTAAGGTACAAACTAATTAGCTTTGAATAAAACATGCCAACAGAATTATGTTTATGTTAAAACATTAGTGTGAAAAGCTACATTTTTTTTTTTTACTTAAACTTTTAAAAAATTTTTGTCTCTGAGGATTATTGATTCCGCGCCCCCCCCCCCCC